TTTTTATGTTTTTTTTTTAAACTTATAGATATATGAACGTATACACCAGTTTCAAACTTTTATTCTAATAAAGAATTCTGTCTTCTATAATACATTTTATCCATTTAAGAATGCAAACAAATTGGTAGTGTAAAAAATGATGACAGTCTCCACTTCATACATAAATCCCATGAAACTAACTACCTACATTATGTAATACATTTTATCCATTTAAGAATGCAAACGGATTGGTAGTGTAAAAAATGATGACAGTCTCCACTTCATATATAAATCCCATGAAACTAACTACCTACATTATGTATGAATAATTGAATTAAGGATCTGTAATTCTATTTTTTATGCATATTAAACTAACTTAATTCAAGCAAAAATGAAAGAAATGAATTAACTTTTTTGCTAGATTTTGACCTATTTAATCAATACATTATTTAGTAAGTTGACTAGAATTACTTCATATTTTGGATATAACTAGTTAATTAGCAATGTTTATAGCGCAAATCTCAAACAAAGATCTTTTCCATCACCGTCATCCTATAATGTAACCACCGAATGCCAAATCCTATATTTAAGAGCAAGTAAATAATGATTGCTTCATAATCGTCTAACATAAAAAAAAAAAAAAAATTTCAAATTATTATAAATAAAAAAAACATTAAAGAATACGTAAAATTAAGAAAAATAATTATTAGATATTATGTGATAATACAAATGACGTGACAAACTTCAATAAATATAGTTAGACATGGAACATAAATTTTTGCAGTAATTTACGTTAAAAGTTTTATATTCTTTGTGTTTTTTCATTTTCAACTTCACAATCATTATGATAAAAGCTAACTATTAACAACTTGTCTTAAAATAATTATTCTTTAATTATTCAAACACAAAAATTATATATTTCAATAACTAAGCAATGCCGGTGCATTAATAAAAATACTACAGACTCTCATTAAAGACACACACATTGCTGTTAAAGAGTTTTATTGGGCTGTGTTCCGGCAGAATTGGCTATGCGCAGCAGAGATGGCAAGTGTGCAGCTGAATTGCAACGAGTTGCAAGCTTGTAAAATCCGCAACTTACTGAAATGCTAAAGAGTCTCAACACTGAATTGAGTTCTGACATCTCCATTGTTGTTAATGCACACTTCTTTCGTTACTAATCCTCAAGCATTTGGTAAGTAACAATGACAAACAGTGACATATATAGATATAAATTGGATCTGATATGATTATGGTCAGGATTCAAAACATCTTAAATAGTCTGCTGTGGACAAGGACCTTATAATGGACTAGGACTCTGCACTGTGGCATCAAACATATGCGAAAACTGGGAGGAATATGCATTTTGGGATCCATTCCATCAATCTGAAAAGGCTAATGCTTTGATTATTCAAGAGATACCGAGTGGATCTAGCAATTACATGAATCCCAGGAATTTGAGCACAATTTGAGCACTATATTAATGGAATAATAAAATTGTAGATTCTGAAAACAAAATTTAGGGTTTAATTGGTCAAAACATATAGTGCAAACTTCCAGAAACCCCAAAGTCACCATCTTTAACATTATGCCTTAATGGCAAACCAATCAATGTGACGCAAAAAATGGTTTTAAGCAACAATTTATCTGAAATTCCTAAAAATCCCTGGTGAAAATTTCTCGAATTTAACATTTTGTCAAACAATTGTTTATCTACAGCGTACAATATTTTATATGCCATGGTTTGGAAGCATTTGCTTATATAATGTTGGCGAAAGATAGACCAAAAAGGAGAGAAGTAGAGACAAGGGGAAAGGTGATATAAAGACATCTTCTATATATGCATTTTCAGTACGTTATACACATATTTGACAGAGGAATGAGAGAAGAACAAGGAAGAAAGTAAGGAACCTGCAAGTTGATAGCCCTTGTAGTGACCATCGGAGTGGAAGAAAGAGGCTTGAATCTTGAGCGCGGAGAGGAAGCAGCCAAAGGCAAAGACGGGAGTCCCCACCATTCACACTCGATATCTTCGATGTCCGCCCAAAATCAAAAAATAGACGTACATATATATAGAAAATGGAGGGAACGTATAGTTCAGCTTTTTCAAACTTTTTGCCCTGGGGAGGATTTTAGTGGCTAGCTATCCATGGGAGACGCATACGACACCGTTTTTAACGTTTTGCAAAGTGGAAAAAAATGGTTGTCATATTGAGGTCGGCCCATCGAGCTACTGGGCCTAGAAAGCACCGGCCCGTTATCCTTCCACTGAAGAGAGCGGCAGGTCTTCGTTGCTCTGTTTCCAGCCTCACGCAGTCCCCTCCGCTCTAAGAAGCATCAAGCCCCGAGCTTACGCTCAAGACTCAAAGCTCAACTCTCCTCTTGGAACGGGCAGACCAGCATCTACTTTTTCCATAACCCCCCAACCTTCAGAACCGAATCAATTTCCAACCATTTCAAAGCCCCCAACTCAGGTTACAAGCCCGCGTTACCAAGCTCGGCTGCCACAATTTCTCTGGCCTTAGCACATAAAGAACCCGCTTGTATCATCAGCATTCCATGTGGGATTTCACTTAAAGAACATTCTCAAGCTTTGTTGGAGTTGCTGACGATGACTATAAACGGCTTACGTAGCTTCCCAACTTCTGTTTCCAAATGCTGGTTTTCTCCTCTTAAAAAAGATTTTTAAAGTGGGATAATGTAACTATTTGGTTTTGGTTTAAGTTATTTTGGGGTTATGTTTCCTTGCTTTTCTTCCAAGGGTATGTTTGGGAGGAGGAAGAAGGGAGGGAATGTAATGGAGAAATTGAGTGCAAATAACAGAACAAAATATAAATGGAAGTAAATTATTTTCGTCACCTATGTAAGTTTAATTCTTAGCTAACTAAAGTGACCAAATCACTACGAGATACTAACACACATTACCTTCCTTTGGTCAAGAGCCCAAGTTAATGGTAGATAACAGAGAGTAAATTACAGAGAGCTGTATATATATATACATATATGTATGTAATTAAACAGATTTATAACGCCCATGTACTTCTTCACATATAGATGAATAAATATTAGACAGAGAGCTATAGATATATATATATATATGTATATATATATAATTGTGAAGAAGGTGATTAGTTTGAATCATTTAGACAAAGAGGTTCATGCAAGCAGAACAAGTTAAATAATTATGTGATTTTGCACTCAAAAAGCTTAAACTATAAGGGTTCCTGCAAGCAGAATACGTATTTTAATGTGTGCATATACCAAAAGAAAATGGCAAAACTTAGACAAATAACTCTTCATTGATTGATAGAATACGAAATATTATATTTGAGGTCTAATTCTCTTTATACATATATATATATATATATATATAACATTTCTGCAGGCAACAACCCGTGCTACTAGACTTCTTTTGTTAATTTCAGTAGATACATATATATATATATAGATTTATGGCATTTCCACAGGCAAAAGAAAATTTCAGCAATACTCAGCTACCAGATTATGTCGGTTTCTAATCTCTGAATATAGAAAACTTCTAATGGTATCTATAAACTATTTCTTCCTACCTACTTGGTTCTTGCTGTAAGTTTTCCCCATTACCATTTTGCAGCTAAAATATGAACGTATTTACAGTATGATCAAGTACTGAAGTTTAACTTTGGAGTATATTGCAGAGTGTTATATAATCTCGGAGATTGAATAGTTATGGTGGTAGACACTGGACCATTAGGCTAACATGTTGATTGTTCAACAGATGATGAATGGCACGACCAAGTAACTGAGTTTGTAAGTTTGAAGTTTCGAAACAATTGATTTAATCAATTATTTAAAATTACTAGCGGAATAATAACTACGAGAAGTTGATCATAAACATTCCGACCCACCAGTATGAAATGAAGAAACATGTGAAAAGACAAAAGGAAAAAAAAGGTGCAAGATATTCACATTGAAATAGTTAACGAAGAGTTGACTGAATGGAATAGTTGTGGTTGCTTTCAAATTTGTGCAGTTTAGAAGTTTAAGGAATTTGGAAATTAGTCATGTTACTTACTTAGCACAAGGGTCATGTGTGATTCTTTATTCTGCTCACCTGAAAGAATAGAACATGTGAATTGGAAGTTGGATATAAAGCTATAACTTTTGAGACACTTGAGAAAATTTAAAGACCTTCGACAAATTAGATCACAAGATTAAATGCCAATGAATTTTGGCCTTTCCACATAGCAGAGTGGGTGAGCCAAGCTCCTCGGAGGGAATCGAAGAACTTTTAGAAACTTTCTCGGCCCCTTTTGGGAGTTTTTTCAAAATTCACAATATATATGTGCTTTACTCTCAAAATTGAAACTTTTGAATGTATTTGTGATTATGGTTTGAGAAAAAGAATGTATTTATAATTACAGGATATTTCTACAGTGAATTTAACATTCATTTCTCTAGTAAAAATAGATACAATTGATCAAATTACATGTTTATCTCCATATATGCTAATTTTTCGATAAATTTATTCACTTGACAATAACGTATTCGACTTTCGTAGTCTAATTTAATTTTTTTCTTTTTACCATCCACACATCAACTTGAATTCAACAACAGTTTAACCAGCATCCCATTTTTTTATCTCACTTTATAAATTGGCGGTGGAAAGTAATTTTTTGTGGGTGTACTTCAAATCATTCATCCAGATCACATGACCTTTGGGTTTTTCTATTCCCATTAATGAACTTCCTCTGACATTTGCAACCTAAAAGCTTGTCCATTTTATCTACAGATAATTTTCTGTAAAATATAACTCTAAAACTTTCGTTTGTAGAAAAAAAAAATTAACTCGAAATTCAACTAAGACCTACTAGGACATTAGATTTCAATTTGAAGGCACGTGTAATTTGTTGGCAGATAACTCAATAGCTAACATTATATAAAGCAAGCATCTCTCATCTGAAATCTTTCACAGCCCATATATTTGTATGTCTTTTTCAAATAAGAATATGGGTTTGATAATGGCAAATTCAGTATCATCAATAGACAATTCTCTAATCATTACAGGCCTTCTATTGACACTATCAACACTCGCGGATGCACGTGCATTTTTCGTGTTTGGTGATTCCCTTGTCGATAGTGGCAACAACAATTACCTAGCAACAACTGCTCGTGCAGATTCAGCCCCGTATGGAATTGATTATCCGACTCATAGGCCTACAGGCCGCTTCTCCAATGGCCTTAACATCCCAGACCTCATCAGTTAAAACCTCTCGATTTCAAAATCTTGCATTATTCCTATACCAAAAATGCATGATCGTGCTTATTATAATGCATGTTTACATTTGCAGGTCAAGAAATTGGATTATCAGAACCTCCATTGCCATACTTGAGTCCACAGCTGACTGGGCAAAGACTACTTGTTGGGGCAAATTTTGCTTCAGCAGGAATTGGAATACTCAATGATACTGGAGTTCAATTTGTAAGGAAATTGCTTTTTTAGTTACTTATTTCTTAAGTGAGAATTTATAAGCCCATTGTTTAACGAACTATTCGAGATTTACTAAAACAGGTATAAACTTGTTATTTAATTAAGCATTCGATATTTACTATTATAAATTTAAAAAATTTATTAAAAGAAATTAGTTTCTGACTGATAAATTATTATATTGTTACATGTTGCAGCTGAACATAATTAGAATGTATAGACAACTGGATCACTTCCAAGAATACCAGCAAAGAGTAAGTTCTCTTATCGGACCTAAACAAACTCGAAGACTTGTAAACCAAGCACTTGTGCTCATCACTGTTGGTGGCAACGACTTTGTGAACAACTACTACTTGGTGCCATACTCTGCAAGATCTCGCCAATTTGCATTGCCAGACTACGTTAAATTCCTTCTATCTGAGTATCGGAAATTATTGCTGGTAATTTCTAATGTAAATGTAACACAATTCATATAAGGGCTCAAACAAAAATTTAAAAGCATAATTTTTTTAGAATTACTTGATGTGATGTTATTTATCATTGAATGAGTTTTGGTTAAGAACATTAAATCTATAATATGATGTTACTTGTCAAAGTGTAGAGGGTGCATCAGCTCGGAGGACGCAGGGTGTTGGTGACAGGAACTGGACCAATGGGATGTGTGCCTGCAGAACTCGCAATGAGGGGCAGCAGCAATGGAGGATGCTCGACTGAGTTGCAACGAGCTGCGTCTTTGTACAATCCGCAACTCATTCAGATGCTGAATGGACTCAACGGAAAACTTGGGAGACATGTGTTCATTGCTGCAAACACACATCAAATGCACCTGGATTTCCTCGCCCAACCCCAAGCATATGGTACTATTTATATCTACATCTATATATACTATTTATTTTTCGAGTCTTTATTTTATCTTATAAAAATTAAAAAATATATTTAAATTAAGTGATGAAGTAACGTCTAACATATGTTTTTGTTCATTCTTATGAAAGAAGTAACTAGTAAGGTAAAATTCGTTGATAAAGAATTACATTATAAATAAGTAACTTATTAAAATGATGTCCTAGTTGTTATTAATTCATTTTTTTATGGATGCAGGATTTACGACATCGAAAATAGCTTGTTGTGGACAAGGACCTTATAATGGCCTTGGCCTATGCACACTGGTTTCAGACTTGTGTCCTAACAGAGATCTTTATGTCTTTTGGGATTCATTTCATCCATCTGAAAAGGCAAACAAATTGATAGTGCAAAAGATGATGACTGCTTCCAGTTTATATATGAATCCTATGAACTTAACCACCTTATTATCTATTTTCTGAATGGTTTATGTATTAAACTTAAATATGTATCTTATGAATTTTTTTAAGTGATTAATGTCTTAGACTTAATTGTAGTAATTAATTAAAATTAATTATAGTATATGTACTTAAATTTTAAGAGGTATCTTAGTGCTTATATATCACATAATTTTTTTTTATAATAATCACAAATGAAAATTTGAGTTTTTTTTATAAGTTTTTTATTCTTTTTCCTCTCATTTCTAATAAAATATTATCTAAAGTTAATTTATCTCTTTAAATTTTTCAACAACTCTATACTCAGAGAGCAAGTCAATAATATTTTTTTCACAATCATCAAGATTCTATATAATTGTAAATAAAAAAAAAAAGACTAGAAAATAAGAAGAGTATTTATTTTATATTCTGTAACGACAAATTACTTATGAAACTTTCACAAATATGGTTAGATGTAAACAATCTACGTTAAAAGGTTTTTATATAGTTCTTTGCACTTTTTCTTTCTTGTGTTTACCTTCACTAGATGTTTATGGAAATAACTAACTATTAACAAATTATTTTAAAATAATTAATTCTTTATTACTCAAAAACGATAGTTTTATTAATATAACTAATTATGACAGTAATAATAACTACATATTAAAAGGGATCATCTATATAGAAAAAAATTTAGTACTAACACACGAATAATAATATAACTAATAATATTATAACATCTTATTAAGAATATACACGTACAAAACTCGACTTGGACAGACAACTTGAACTTGATAGAGAGAGTAAAATAACAATCATATAACCAAAAGATGGTTTAGAAGAGAAAGCAAAAGAGAAATATTAATCCAAAATGTCTTTGACAAGCCTAACCTTGCTCTCTTTGTAAGTAACAATCTGTATGGTTCTATATACTCCTTGGATTCGGAGATCAGTGATTTCTTTGGTGTCCATGTCATATAAGACTACCTGTCCCTTGCCATTATCAAGAAACACCTTGCCATTCTTCCAAAATCCCAGTGGATACCAACACCAATATAACCCAGGAACTGGATCAATTCTATATAATCTACTCCAAGACTCTTCCACACCAATTTCAAGCAAAACCCACACGTCAATCCACCACCTGTTGTTCACCCTCCGACTATCCCCTTGACTAACACAAACTGTTAAACAGTCACCCAATGGATAGAACCAAATGAACCAAGAAAACCTATTGATATTATCAGGCAGCCTAGTCTTCGAAAAAACCTCCTTACCCATATCAAATGTAACGATTCTTTCTTCATCATTAGTATGATTTACAGTAAACCAAGATAAGGTTCCTTTCACCACCGTGCTTGAGTTTCTAAAAACATCAACTACACCCATTCCTTGAACATGGATTCTCTTCCACGAATCTTCTTCTAGGCTGTAGATTTCTATACAATGATCTCCTACAGAAGTTGCCATGATAAATTCAGAAATTTTCATGAGTTTTATCACCTTGTAGTTTTTTCTCTCTTGAAGGTATTCAAACCCAGAAAGAATTACATCAGCAGAAGTTTTTATCCCCTTGCTGTTAAAATACTGAAACCTAGGTGGTGGGAGGATTTTTAACTCGCTAGTTGCAGGGTTCCACAGAATAAAATTATCCCCATAATGATCATGTAAACACACAATTCCATTACATGAGCCTACAAGGTTGACTCTTGTTGACCCACGATCAGGTGAGTGGACGAAAGGGAGGTATTCAGTTGTAGACATTTCACGAAGATTGTGGTAAGGGCAGAGAGAAAACACAACAGGCTCCTTATCATTAGGGTTAGGACTCTTATTGATACGACTAATGAGGAGTTGAGAGGTGGTACTGTAGATATTTTTATTGTTGGCATTGAAGAGAATGGTTTTAGATATGGAGTTTGGATATTGTATCAGAGTCGACCATGACTTGGAAACGCACTTGAATCTCATCAAACTCTTAGTTGGACATTTGAGCAGTATATGAGCTACTGTGCTTTCTAGCCAAGACTTGTCAGCTAATGCCATCCTTGAGTAATGTCTGAATTAACATATACATACATATATATATATAGGAGATGCAACAATTGTATATAAATATATTGTATATATTATATGGTAAGTTTTGTATGTATATATCAATGGTTAGGTTACAGGGGATGAATACTCCTATTTTAGGATTTCATTTATGTAGAGTTTTAATTAAGAAAGATATTTGCAGGTAGACATAATGGCTAAATTTTAGAAAAATATCACCTCAATCTCTAATTTTGTCAAGTACATCAATGTATTTGGATTGACTAATATAAATTAATTAAAGTTAATTCTTAATGTGTAATATATTAATATTTCCTAAAACTTAAAATTTAAGAGTATTTTTGGGTATGAAATTGGACAAAGGTAAGATTTATTTTTATTCTTAATCAATAATTTAATATTATCACTAGTAATTTGGTATTAGATTGATTATATATAATTATTGATATATAACAAATTTTCGGCAAAAAATTAAAGAAACTAAAAATTAAGATTGATAATGGTTCTTTTACAAAAAAAAAAAAAAGGTAATTAGGTAGAAATAAATATATAAAAAATTAAATTTAAAAAAATAAAAATATGTAAGGGAACACAATTCTAAGTAAATTTGAAACAGACATGGATAATTATGTAATAAACAATAATTCTATCAAGTTTATAATTGTATAAATAACTTTTTTTGAGTGCAATCATATATTCAGGAATTAATTCATATACATAATGAGTTAATAATCTAAATAACTTTCAAACGAGTACACACATGAAAGTATAACCTGATTCGAAGTCATAATTTCCTGTTGAGAAAGAGATGTATTGTAACGTCCCAGAATTTAAAATGAGATAAAAATATGAATTGAATGCGGAAGCGAAATAATAGAGTTAGGGTTTACATTCTTTACATAATAATTTAAAATACCCCATAGTGTTACGAGAATGTCCCTTCTAAAAGACCAAACGAAAATCAAAGAAATAAACGAAAAGTAGACAATTAAGCATCTTAGGACAATCTTTACTAGCTTTTGAAGAAGTCCGAGTGATGAACTATTCACAAACCTCTTGGTGATCAGAATCTGGGTTTTAATCCTCTGATATGAAATAGTTAATGAATGGGACACTAGCCCAATAAGAATATCATGCTGCTCATTGATACAAAAAATAAATGTTGGTAAAAATCATAAAAATAATCAATTGAGCTCTTAATTTAAGTAAATTCATTTATCATAAGTAAAATCATTTATTGCATACTTACCGTTGCGAGATTTTAAAAAACGACCTATAGAGACAATAACTCAACAACATCATAATCTCATGTTCAAGTAAGTAAAAATAACAATTTTTCTTTTTTATTTGCCTACTGATATCCATGGGGGTCTATAGGGATGTCCCACTACGTGTAAACCAACATATAACCTTATCAATTACTGGTCGTCCCCATACCCCATCTGGTATGAGTGCCAAAAATATCAATCATTAATATCTCGTCTGCTATGAGGGTAAAACGGGTCATCCCCATACCCTATCCGGTATGAGCGCTAAAAATATCAATTCTCGATACCCCGTCCTGTATGAAGTGACGTTCACGGTAGAGTTTCCTATGTACCCGATCTGTCCACCATCTCTCACGATATCTATTAAGGCTACTATTCATTCATTCACTTAACTAATCAATTTTTTATTTACATTTAATTTTTAGTTTCACAATTTAACCGTAAATCAACACAAGATAAACAATACATGCATCAAGGAAACACAACTGAATCATTTTACTAATTTTAGTACAT